ATGTTCGCAATAGGCGGCTTCAGAGTATAGCTGCATAATTTGAGCATCTAGATACGTCTATGTGTCTCAGCGTTTGTTTGTCCATAGGCCAACACCAAGCACGCGAAGCCCTTTTAAGCCACATTGAATAATGTGGACTTGACGGATTTTTGGATTTGGCATCGTCAACCGCGTGGATTTGAAGTGAGAGGAGGGAAACGTGAACGTGGAGCCGCGTGGAGCAGTCCGCAGCGGAAAATAATAAAATGGGACCGCCTGTTCGACCGGCTGGCCTGAGCGAGGTACGCGGACGGCCACGCCTGACCGAAGCCAATTTTACCAAATGCGACCTCCTTCCCACGCGGCTACTCACAAGAAATTTTGCCCTCCTTATCATATTATACATTTTTTCTTCTTCTCTTAAGCCGGGAGGAGCGGCTACGGGCAGTCCCCTCCACGCCTACTCCCTCCCCTCACCCTCCGTAGTCTCGGCGACGGTAGGGTTTGAAGGGCACAGTGGCTAGAGCGAGCTAGAGGTGGGTAGAGATGCGGGGGTCGAGGGGAGAGGGGCCGTAGAAGGAGGTGGGGGAGGGCCCGAGGGAAATGCGGCTATTCGGCAGCCTCCAGAAGATTGGGATGGGAGAGCTGCACCGCCTTGGCCTTCAGGCGCCCCCGGCGCTCTGGCTCTCCTACTCGCCCTCCCCCCCCCCCCTCTCTCTCTCTCCACGAGTGTCTCTTTCCCATCTCCCCGCCTGAACACCACTAACTTATATTTTTATTATTTAATTTAATTTTTTGGGGGTGAATTATAGGGTATTAATCAACCGTTATTATTGATAAGATTTAAAAGTATCCCAAGAGCTGCCATTTTTGTGTGTTGGAAATATTGGCAGCAAACTGACTAATTAATTGCTACATGTTTTCGTCGCTGGTTTAAGGCAAATCTAAACTTCTGCCAGGGGACAAGGCACGGACTGCAGGGGTTTTAGAGACGCCTGAACAAACCCACGATGTATAAGAATACTATAGCAGTACAGAGCGAGAGCCGAAAGAGACGAGGGGGAAAGAGGGAAAGAGGAAATGAATGAAGTATTTGCTCTCGGCGCAGAGCTGCCCTGCGCACGGCGCGCCGCACTACGAAACGCCCCCCTCTAATCAGTAAATAAAATATTTTGTTTCAATTAGTGGCTGCAAACAACACAGCCTCTGCCTCGGCCCGCCGGCGTTGGGGAAGGCGGAGGGGAGG